ATATATATATATATATATATATATATATATATATATATATATATATATATATATATATATACATAGATTAACTTAACACACATGCAATTTAGATTTGATTTGGAAATCGAAATAAATTATTACTTTGTTCTTACAAACACTGACCCACAGCAGTAATGTCGGTATCTCGTTTGCCTTCGTTTTCTAGTGAGATAGCACAGCTGATCCCAAAATGTAAACATGCAGTGACTATAAATCATGAAGAATTGAGGTTAGGTCTGGTTGCTCACACGTTTATTTCATATTTTCATGAAGATTATAATAAGCCCATAACTTACCCCAGCTGGACATATATGAACAAAGGCATCGTATAAATCATCAACACCTGAGTTTATTAAGTTCACTACAGGTGATAATTGCCTTAACTCTCTCTTCTTAAAATATAACGTAGACACACTGCCGCCTCATAGTTCTTTCCTCTTCAACAACACAAAATCCTGAGAGATTGAGCAATAAATTCACGAGGGAGAAGTGAAACGAGGTGGGCAGTGTACCTCACCTCTACTCACCTCACCTCGCCTTGCCTCGCCTGTCGTTGCCTCGCCTTGTCTATCTTCGCCTCGCCGCGCCTATCCTCGCCTCTCATCTTATTATTACTACGTGCAAAGTTGTTAATAGTATGCACTCAATTAGGTGCTGGGCATTTATATTCCCATAAATATCAACATTTATCCACACCCAAGCTATACCGTGGATGTTGAAGGTTCACAACATTACTAGGTGAGGAGAGGGCCTGAGGTGGAACGGGGTAAATTGTTTGCTGTTATTTACATGCTATGTATCTTAGACGTGTCTTTGTAATTATGTCAGGATCTGTTTTTATAAAGTGTTAGACCAGATGTCCATTGTTGGCCGGGTAGAGCAATACACAGCTACACGTGATGGTAAATTTGCTTTACATTAGCGGACATAAGCTCACAGGCAAGGCTCAGGGCTATTATTATGGTACTGATAATGTAACGTGGAGAATATTTTTATATTATATTAAAAAAATATGGCACTCGGCGACGTAAAAACAGGTGAACGCTTATGAACAAGTTTTGGTGATCCTGGTGTAGAGCGGAGGAGCCTTTCACCGTACTCATTAATTAGCTAACATTTTTCTCAGCTGCGTCAGGGAGGAAAATATTCTCATGCGTGATTAACGACTTCCTCCACCTCTTCTTACTAGCCGGCACGTCCTCCTTACGTGACTCTTTACACCTTTAGCTTCCGGTGACGCCCTCTGCCTTTTGCTCTTTTGTTCATGTACTTTAGGTTTTATTTTCATTTGTTGTGTAATACTTCACCCTTGTTGTGTGTTGTTGTAGGTAACATGTTGTCTCCTGTGTTGCTGCCACTTTGTCCTGGGACATTGTTGTTTCATGATACATTTGTTATCGTTGTTATATTGTTCTTACTCTTATTGTTATTATTTTTTGTTTTGGGGGGGGCAAATTTAGTGTTATTTTATGAATTTATTATTATTATTATTATTATTATTATTATTATTATTATTATTATTATTATTATTATTATTATTATTATTTCTTCTTGGTGTGCTTGTTGTAGTGTTTCTCACATGTTTCTCCGTAATTAATGACAGGAACTCATGTACCATACACAGTGGGGGCATTAAACAAGCCACTGACTTCCTTGCCCCGTAAAAGTGGTAAATTAACAATTGTGTTCTGTTAGCATGGAAACAGGAAAAGAGGGATGGTGTGTGTGTGTGTGTGTGTGTGTGTGTATATATATGTGTGTGTGTGTGTGTGTGTGTGTGTGTGTGTGTGTGTGTAGTTAGTCGGTTGGTTGTTTCTTGTTTGTTTGTTTAGTCGGTGTGTGATACAGATACTTCGGTGGCGCCTGTCACTTATCACCGTTCAATCAATGTACAAGTGTACCATAGTATAATGTTTAATTAACAGTAGATATAATAATAATAATTTTTGTTAATTGTAAAAAGGTTGAGGTATCACAGATCATCAGTCGTGATTTCATGCAGTCCTCGACCATATCAGAATTGTATTGTATGATATAAATTCCTCGAGTCAGGGGTCATGATAGTTACTAGTATATTAACACTTGTAATATGGAGATACATTTTATGCAGTGTTTCTGCATCTCAACATTTTAAAGGTAACATGTAAACAAAGATGTGGTAAGGTGCCTCCAAATATATTTTCACGTTTCAGAAACTTTGCCTCAGTTCTTGGAGCGCCGTAAAAATTATTTCTAAACAAGGTCAATGAGACCAAACATTACGTGGAAAGCCTTTTATTATAATATATAAACATTTATAGCAAAATAGTCTCTTTTATCCTCTACTCGTCTACACACTGGTACTTGGTATATTGTCAGGTTACCAGCGTCGTCCGCGTTGTCGTGTCACAGTAACATATCTCACTCACAGACGTTGACTGCTGCTCATCCCCTCACTAGGACCTCCCCTCACACACCTTTGTAAATCGCCTTTTTTTTTATACAGAACACTACAAAACTACTCCCTCACAACAATGAGTAATATTTGATGGGGTTCAATATCTTAAAGACTGGAATATGTATTAACATTGTAAAAATAATGGACAAGAAAAAACAAACATAATAATAGAGACTATGAGCGTGTGTGCTTGGAAGTGTTCCACAAGGGGTCACTGTTGTGTGGTATGTATAGACAAATGCAATTTCCATTTTAACCTTTTGAGTTTTCATTTAACCATATTACCATTGAAAAAAAAAAAAAAAATATATATATATATATATATATATATATATATATATATATATATATATATATATATATATATATATATATATATATATATATATATATATATATATATATATATATATATATATATATATATATATATATAATTACCGAAAAGTTATTTGGTATATCAAAAGAATAAAGGCCACATAGATAGATGAATAAATGAGACACAAATGATAGACACTGATGTAAAAAGAAAATACACGGAAAAAAAAATGACGTGTATCTTTAGAAATTAGATTGGTTAAAGTGGTGCCATAAAAAAATAATATACATATAACATTGACTTTCCTTAACACGGAGCAAATAGTTTACAAAATGTTTAACGTAAGATTCTTGTCGCCATTCACAAAATTATTTGTCACTTCGATGTCACAGAAGGGATATTTGAGGCAGCTTCTTCAACAGTCAGTATAATTATACTCCAGAACAATTTGTCGTAGACTTCCTTCCGTCTTCAGTATCGTGAAACACAGTATTTTGGAACCCGTGTGGTTTCTCCATATAACTGTACGTATCCACCAGTAATTACCATTACCTAGGAGTGTGACTCTCAGTCGTCACCCGACACACAACAATCAGTCAGAGCGTCATTTTGTTCATTATTAAGTAACCAGGTTCTGGGATGTCGCATCATCTACTAATACAGACCACGTAGCTCAAGTGATCAATGACTGTAACACCTGGTGCTGTAGCTCAGGTGAGCAGTGGCTGTAACACCTGGTGCTGTAGCTCAGGTGATCAATGACTGTAACACCTGGTGCTGTAGCTCAAGTGAGCAGTGGCTGTAACACCTGGTGCTGTAGCTCAAGTGAGCAGTGGCTGTAACACCTGGTGCTGTAGCTCAGGTGATCAGTGGCTGTAACACCTGGTGCTGTAGCTCAGGTGATCAATGACTGTAACACCTGGTGCTGTAGCTCAGGTGATCAATGACTGTAACACCTGGTGCTGTAGCTCAAGTGATCTGTAACAATGACTGTGGTGCTGTAGCTCAGTGATCAATGACTGTAACACCTGGTGCTGTAGCTCAGGTGATTGCGATCAACACCAGCGCTCAGGTGATCATGGCTGTAACACCCGGTGCCACCAGGTGATCAGTGGTGTAACACCGGTGCTGTAGCTCAGGTGATCAGGTGACTGTAAACACCGGTGCTGTAGCTCAGGTGATCATGCTGCAACACCCGGTGCTGTAGCTCAGGCATCAGTAGCTGTAACACCTGGTGCTGTAGCTCAGGTGATCATGTGGCTGTAACACCCGGTGCTGTAGCTCAGGTGATCAGTGACTGCAACACCGGTGCTGTAGTTCAGGTGATCATGGCTGTAACACCCGGTGCTGTAGCTCAGGTGATCAGTAGCTGTAACACCTGGTGCTATAGCTCAGGTGATCAGTGGCTGTAACACCTGGTGCTGTAGCTCAGGTGATCAGAAGCTGCATCGGTGCAGCTCAGGTGACAGTAGCTGCACACCGGTGCAGCTCAGGTGATCAGTGGCTGTAACACCCGGTGCTGTAGCTCAGGTGATCAGTAGCTGTAACACCGGTGCTGTAGCTCAGGTGATCATCAGTAGCCTGTGCAGAAGGTAAACCTGGTGCTGTAGCTCAGGTGATCATGGCTGTAACACCTGTGCTGTAGCTCAGGTGATCAGTGTGGCTGTAACACCTGGTGCTGTAGCTCAGGTGATCAGTAGCTGTAACACCTGGTGCTGTAGTTCAGGTGATCAGTGGTTGTAGCACCTGGTGCTGTAGCTCAGGTGATCAGTGGCTGTAACACCTGGTGCTGTAGCTCAGGTGATCAGTGGCTGTAACACCTGGTGCTGTAGCTCAGGTGATCAGTAGCTGTAACACCTGGTGCTGTAGTTCAGGTGATCAGTGGTTGTAGCACCTGGTGCTGTAGCTCAGGTGACCAGTGGCTGTAACACCTGGTGCTGTAGCTCAGGTGATCAGTGACTGTAACACCTGGTGCTGTAGCTAAGTTGATCAGTGGCTGTAACACCTGGTGCTGTAGCTCAGGTGATCAATGACTGTAGCACCTGGTGCTGTAGCTCAGGTGATCAATGACTGTAACACCTGGTGCTGTAGCTCAGGTGATCAATGACTGTAACACCTGGTGCGTAGCTCAGGTGATCAGTGACTGTAACACCTGGTGCTGTAACTCAAGTGATCAACGGCTGTAACACCTGGTGCTGTAGCTCTCAGCTGTGTATCAGTGGCTGTAACACCTGGTGCTGTAGCTCAGGTGATCAGTGGCTGTAACACCTGGTGCTGTAGCTAAGTTGATCAGTGGCTGTAACACCTGATGCCGTAGCTCAGGTGATCAGTGGCTGTAACACCTGGTGCTGTAGCTCAGGTGATCAGTGGCTGTAACACCTGGTGCTGTAGCTCAGGTGATCAGTGACTGTAACACCTGGTGCTGTAACTCAAGTGATCAACGGCTGTAACACCTGGTGCAGTGGCTGTAACACCTGGTGCTGTAACTCAAGTGATCAACGGCTGTAACACCTGGTGCTGTAGCTCAGGTGGTCAGTGGCTGTAACACCTGGTGCTGTAACTCAAGTGATCAGTGGCTGTAACACCTGGTGTTGTAGCTCCAGTCATCAGTTGTTCCAACACCTGGTGCTGTAGATCCAGTTATCATTAGCTACAACACCTGGTACTGTATCTACAGTACAATGATCAGGGGCTACAATATCACCATATCCTGCCAGCACATGTACCCTGTTTGTGGAGGTAGCTTGGCTACAGATGGGGACACAATGCCACTGATAGTTGGAATCTGAAGGTTATATTATGCTGTATGATCGAGTAATCACTACTTGCCCGAATCTCAGCGTAGCATCTTAACATGATCTGCTGCCATTAGTAATCTGGTTCTGACGGAATGGTTCATCTGCTATGTTAGATTCTGTTGTCAAAAATATCCTGGTTCTTCTAAGCTCGTTAAGTTCAAAACCAGGGTTTATGAGGCTCAGTTAAACTGAGGATATCTTACATATCCTCAAAATGTCCTTGACGTTATAGTAAGGGGTGAGACAACGAAGTTAGGATATGAAGTTTATGTCCTGATTCTGAGGGTGACTTGCTAGCCACAAGGCCAGGTGCTGTGGCCTCTGATGATTTAGTGTTGTGGGTGAAGTGTGAGTGAACGAGGCCAGGAGCTGCGGATGAGAATGATGTAAATGGATATTGACCAACTAGAGGAACAGGTCACGGATCCACAGGTGTTGACTCAGCACGAAGAGAATGATGCCCGCCCAGCAAGTACTTCTTGTTCCGTAACCTGGAAAAATAGAAATAATAAAATGAGTTCCATGAGCTTTAGATGAAACCACGAAGAAAGGTAGCTGTTATTTGGAATTAATTACGATCTTAATAGTAAAGCAAAACACACACACACACACACACACACACACACACACACACACACACACACACACACACACACACACACAAACACACACACACACACACACACACACACACTCTCTCTCTCTCTCTCTCTCTCTCTCTCTCTCTCTCAGTTTGAGTAAAAAGTTAACATTTTCTTGCCGTCTTTTTACCAACTCATCCAACATTTTCGATGAATCTCCTTAATACTATCAGGCTCTTTGTATAAATAATGCCCTTTATATAACTCAAGATATTTTTAAATGTGGTGTTTTAAACAGTATGGTGTTCTGACGACTAGGGATCAGCGGCAGTACTTCACATTTATTCCTAATAGTTAATGACTAATTTTTTATGACCTCGCTGCTACTGTGTTGCGAGATACTCAAGTGTTTACACAAGGTTATGGTTGGCTCTGATCATGTCAGTGTAGTCCAAGCCACCAAACTACATTTCTTCCTTATATGTTAAACTAGTCACTACGAGTTTCATCATTTTATGGATCAGAATGGATTATACTGAGGCAATTAGGACATTCTCTGATGAGACAATTTAATAAATGTATATATAGTAAAAAAAATATTATATTGACAAAAGTAAACAAAGTAAATTAAACGTCTTGTAATTACTGCGCCTGAGTAATAGTGTTCTCGTTGGTGACGTTCGTACGTTTCAAAACTGATATATAATAATGACTCTTGTACAATACAGGAAAAATTGAAATTAATTTTTTACCACTTGCTTAAAATTTCATTGAGATATTTCTTGTTTATATGTATTTCTGTTCTTCATCTAAGGTCGTTAAGTGCGTACTCTCAGTAAGTTTCTCCATTAAACAACAAGATCTAATAATGACACACAGAAGTTGTTACTGTAACCTCTTGCATCAATCATTGGCCGCCATACAACTGATGATATCTCTCCTCGTGATGTGGCTAACATAGAGGCCTTCAAATGTCTCCTGTCTTATTTATACGTCATTTTTTATCAACTTCTCATGAAACTAAAAACAGTGACGCCTAAAAGTTTAATATTAATGACAGTTTCTTGTAAAAGAAAATAACCTGTCGACCAGTCTTTTCTGAATTCAAGTAAAAAAAGCTAGAAGCTTTAACATTAAACCTGTGAAATATTATCAGAGGAGACCTCAGTCCTTCCTCTTGTTGTTACTTTATAATATTTTGTCCTTTCAACTTCTTAACGTTAATTTAAAACGTAATTTTAGTAAAATTACCGAAATGAAGAACAGCCATTAAAATATCGTTAATAGACCATGGTAAGTACTGAATTCTTACCTCTCTTATATTATACAAGTTTTGCTTCAGTGACGCCCTTGGTAGGATGTGTGACCTCGTGTGGGGGGTTATTGTTCAGCAGTCATAGAAGATGAGGTTAATGCCACAGTAGTTGTTTTAAGTTATTGTTTTAAATTCCTGTTATCACTTTTCATCCCCGTGTATATCGTATAATGTTGGTGAACGATAACTATACTGCAGCGACTTTACCCTCCTTGTTAATCACTGTGGGTTTTCTTGTGTGTTGACGGTGACCTCTTATGACATCACTCCATTCCCAAATTATGATAAGGTAACTTCGAGGGTGGAATTAACTTTTAACTGTGATATAAAAGTCACAGTGTTCATAATTAAATCCTCAACTCCTAATTGTTTAACAGGTAGAAATGTTTTATAGTTTTTTCTATTACAGGAACAACTGGGGATGACTCAGTATTTGAAATTGTTCACTGAAAGTCTTAGCTCGTCAGATACAAGTGACGCATTTTTCTTGTCTGTAAACTTAAATGTTTTCCACAAAAGATTTAGGTGTCGTAAGTTACTTCTTTGTTGTAAATATAAAACACAATGTCAGTATTATACAGTTGATCAAGTTATCTCCAGATATATAATGATTTTTTGTGTTTACTTTTCTTTTATTATTTGTTTGTTTTCTACGTCGCATTTTATTTTTTAACAATAAAATTGCTTTTCCTCTTCTGGGTCCTTCAGCCCAAAGATATGTATAGGAGGAGATGCTGTCTGAATGTACGGACATCCATGAACATTGAACATGTTCTTGTCTGAGATGGGTCACTGATGTGCGTGTGAACTTTGCACAAGCGCTCTACCCTTCTTGGTAACGTTAAACTGCTTATGGAACATTGAACAATTTAAAACTATCAAAATATAGCCCCTTAAATATAAAACAAAGGTCATTAGGCGGCAACACGTAAAAACTATTTCATTATTTTGTGATCCATAATTCAATCTTTTCATTTCTAATACCAGCTTTTGTATGTGTGTTTGTTTATGGGTGGGTCTTTGGGTGGGGACTTTGTCAATAGGGCGTCGGATATTCTTGGTGCTTGTCAAGACAGGTTGTCACTATCCTGCCGCGAACAGACACTGACACACTGTGTGGTCCTCCCAGATGGTGGCTGGCTTGGGCTGTTGCGGGTGGTAACACTTGTGACGCCCACACAAATAGATTGGTCACAGGCGGTGTAAAAACCTAAGCGTAATATTTGTACCTTTTGTTTGACGCTATCGTTATATATATATTAAAAAAGTTATTTGAGTTTTACTTTTAATCTCGCAAAAGAGTTAAAAATTCTGGGAGATTAAGTGTAAACCAGCTTAGAACTTCAGAAACTGTAGGGAGTGAGGAAATTAAAACTACGGCATACTGAATGTTACCCGTAAAGTTATGTCAGAACTATAAATTGAGTAAGTGGATTGAAGTTTGAAGGACAGGGGTTGGTCAAGTCGTCGACGATTTATTGCTTTCTAATTGCAGCATTCAGTGTGGAGGTAGAGGTGATGGGAGCAAGAGAAATAAGAGAATGACATACAGTAATTGAAGAGTAGTGGGTGACAGAGGGAGCGACGGGATGCTAGACGACAAAGAAGCTAAAATTGGATGTTGCTCAAATTGAGTTGAGGAGGACGTGGACGCATTCCCTCCGAACAACGGGAAGTGTTTCCTGAGTCAGGGAGAGGAACGTAGTAAGAAAAATTATCACATGGGAGTTTTTCTGATTTGTTGACGTTAATAGAATAGTGTGGGAGAAGAAAGTGATGGTGACGTGTAGAGTAGGGGGAGGAGTCTGGTGTGATGTGACACGTAAAGTGAAAAATGCAAGCTAATAACGGCTGTTTGGACGACAAAGTTAGATGAATCAAGACTCCTGAACGACCCAAAAAGCAGAAGAAAAAAATATGGTTGTTCCTCCAGCTCATGCAGCACTTCAAGTGACGTGAAGCTACAACCAGACCCACTGCTGTTGTCATGCACTCTCATCTACATCTCAAGTCTCAGCTGGATTACACAGCGTAATCGGATCTGAGTCGGTCATCCATGCGCTTAACTAACGTGCAACCTATTGTAGTCTGTGAGTCCCTGAACTAAACGCTAAACAGCATTAAGCAACAAAGGAATGAAGCAGATTGCTAGCGATGGGTGAAGACTAAACGCGGTGTGGATCGAAACTAATAGAGAAAGAAAAAATTGGAGGGAAAGTTTAACCTGTGACTAAAGTTAGAGTTAAACTATGGCTATGGTCTATGGTTTACCAACAGTGCCCTTCCTTACTTGTTTTATTGTCTAAAAGGTTAATCCTAGCTATGTTTTTAGACTTTCTGTTGCCGTAATGTTGATCCCTGGAGGGCGCGGACTGGACATCAGGGTCTTCAGGCGTCATCACATACACACAGACAGTACCGGACAGCAGCAGACAGTACCGGATATCAGCAGAACAGTACCGGACATCAGCAGACAGTACGGGACACCACCATTCAGCAGAGCAGCATAAGAGAAGTGAAGGAGAAAGGTTACAACACTATTGTTTCTGACCAAGGAGGAGGTTAGTGTATAACTAAGCTTAGAGCAAATTATGTTGCAATTGGAAAACTTTATTATTATATTTAGGCTGAGAATATTACAGTATTTCCAAGTGAAATAGTAAGGGAGGTTCGCGGAGCTCTGTCATTAACCTCTAACATTGCTGTCGTACTTCCTTTGTAATCCTTCAATTACTGGCTTGACTCTTTTTCTCCACTGCCAATACCACCTCTAATGCCACCACCATCAATTATTACCACACGTGTTCTGGTCGCCACCCACAGCGTTACCACACAGGTATTGTGTTCGCGCTATCCACAGTGTTACCACACACGTGTTGTGGCCATCACCCAGTGTTACCACCTCTACAATATCACCAGCTTACCGTCAAACTTAATACTAGGAAGGATAATACAAACGAAAAACTAATATAAAGTAAATAAAAAAGAGAAGAAAAGAAGGAAGAAATATAAGAAAAAATAATGAAAAAACTGGAAGAGACAATATAGGAAAACGCGGATGTTATGTTGGCCTTCATCGAGACGACACCACACCTCTGTCTTATTTACAGTCATCCACATAATTACGTCCTCATTTCGCTGAAGGGGATGAGTCATACAGGAGGAGGAGTGACAGATGCATAGAGATAGGATAGAAAAACAGAGGAGAGGTTGAAAATAGATGAAGAATTGAGAAAAGCGAAAAAAAGGATTATGAAGACGGAGAGGAGAGTTGAGAAATAGAGGGAGGACTGACTAGAGGAGGAGGTTGAGTAGATGAAATATTGAAGAGAGAGAAAGAGAGAGAGTGAGTTGATGAATGAAAAAAGAAAGATTAAGACGACGGAAATAATTTATAAATAACCAAATTTTTAAGTAAAATGTAGAGGAGAAGAGAGCAATGTAAGGAGGATTGAGGAGATTAAAAGAAGAAATGGCTGTAGGACTGAGAAGACGGAGAGAAGAAATTTGGAAACATTGAAGAACAGAGAAAATTGATTGTGGAAGTTAGGAGAATAATTGATGGCCCAGCAGTCATCATAGGAAATTTAAACGGAGCCTCTTGTTAAACTGGTGCCGTCTGTGTTGGCCTGGGAGACAATCTACTCAGCACCCGTCAGCTGCCCTCACCATCAACGCTGAAAATCTTATCCAGAGAGTATAGAGTGGCGGCTTATGCGGCCAGACTACGTGAGGAGGAGTTGGATGAGGAGGGGAAAGTGTTAGTGGATGGGTGGGCTTAGGGAAGTCGAGTGTGTCATTGGAAAATCATGTGTTTTGATAGTGGCGAGGGACGTTTCGAGGGGGCAGTAATATTGTATGGGGGGGGCAAGAGCCGAGAATGAACCGCTCACAGAGAGAAGATAAACTGGAGGGCTTAAGTCAAGGGTGGTGGGGAACGTGGTAGAGATGTACAAAACTTTGGGCTGAGAGAGAGTGGAGGAGAATGAAGACGGGGGAATGTGGCGGAGGCGGATTCGAGAAGCTCAACATTAATATTTGGGGAGGAAAAAGGCGGTGGGAGAGCGTGTAGGTCAGAGTTGGTAAGGCAGTGTTTGACCAGTGGGAAGCGTGGAGAGAGACTGCAGGATAGGCCTACTGGAAATTTTTTATGTTGGAAGAAGCAGAATTTATAACGGAACGTAAATAGTGTGAGATGTATGTGCCAGGGGGAGACAGGGTGAATGATTGACATATTATAATTATGAAAAAGGGACGAACAATGCAAAAACAAACAAAATATTGGGCCAAAGGACAGTTAATCGACTCATATTTCTAAATGACATTAACTCTAAGACGCTAACTCATATTTCTAAATGACATTAACTCTAAGACGCTGACCATATCTTAACTTGGTCTTAACGGAACAACTAAATCGTTTTCTTTGATTCCAAGTCGCCGAAATTTTGAGTTTCCAGGCTGAGAATTTATAATCGCTGATGATAGTCATTTTTGTATTATTATTAGCTTTATATTTCTCTCATTATACATAAACTGCCGCTCCAGCTAGGAAACTGGTAATTGCAAGATAAGTTTAAGTTTATTGTTGCAGATGGATTATTGCGCAGCAGTTTTATCAGAAAACATGTAAAAAAAAGTATGCCAAATAAATATACAACACTTAGCCTGAGGCGTCAGGTCACCAGAGGTACTCGTCAACAATTAACAACAAGGCTCGCAGAGCTTTTACCAAGCGAATAATTTGTTTCACTGGAGTTACAGTTTAAATGTATGTTTCAATTGTTTTATACGATAGACATTTGTGTAGAATTCAGCTTTTCATTGCATTTCAAAAAGTATAAAACATATATAATATATTAACCTTCTACATGCACTCACTCTTCCTTACAGTTGATGGACTCCCCGGGCCTCCTAGACCAGTCAGGGACGACACTGGTGAGTACCGAGAGTTTGATTTCTTGGGTATTTTCTTATATATAGCGAGGAATTTCTTAAAGATTATTTAATAACATAATATTAGTGTTACTATATTTCTTAATTAAGGTGATTCTTTGTCATCCTTGATTACTGAGACTTGGATTTATTTAATTTGTTTTCTTGAGGGATTATAGTAATTATCCCCAGTCGCTCCCTCAACTCACGTCATCGGAGACCTGGTTACATCTCACACATATTTTTCCTTGAACTTACATAAAAATTCTCGAGTGATTCATGGCTTTGTGGGGCTTTTAAAAGAAGGCAGAAACTAATGGGCGCAACTTATAAATGATAACGAGACATATGTAGATGGTAAGTAAGCAAACATTTGGCATCACGAAAATTGTGACCAAGCCCCAGGTTGCTAATCTGTCTTTCTGCCTCATTTACACACAATTGCAAGTCTCAGCTGTTTCTCTTATTTTTGACAACACAACATACATATATTGTTTCTCACTTTTTATCTTTTTTTCATTTTTTGTATTTCTTTATTATTATTATTACAGTATTGTTATTATTATTGTTCTCATCATTAGTAATTTATTATTTTATTTTCAATTTTGTATTTTGTACTATAAATTTTATTTACTATGAATTATTATTATTATTATTATTATTATTATTATTATTATTATTATTATTATTATTATTATTATTATTATTAATTCGCTCCCCAGGCCCCGATGTGGGTCAGTGACCTGTGCCCGGGTGGGCTAATCCCCGTAAAAAATAAAAGACGGATGTGTTCCCCGCAACTTCTCAGGGAAACGGGATTTTCTTTATACAAATACCGAAGGGAGAAACCAGACTAGTGTCGTTATTTAATCTTCCCTTGTCAAAGTTTGAAGATAATTAATGATTTTTTAGTTTATTCTTATAAAACTGGTTGTGTCTTCCACGTTCTCTTCGGCTTGAAATTACGACATTACATTATTATCGGAGGTGAAGTCTTTGGGCACCACTTCGAAAAAAACTGTTCATCTGGAGTGATCGTTTAATTTGTGACTTAAAACTTTTTGCTGGTGTAACATTGCAGAGTTACTTTCCTAGTGGCTGAATAAGACTAGTATATTCCCTGTAGACCTATCCAGTGCCAGTCTCAGTGGTAAAACTTCTTACACCTGCACACATATTTGTGAAGGTGAACACGTGGGGTGTGTGTGTGTGTGTGTGTGTGTGAGAGAGAGAGAGAGATTTGTATAATGCTAAAACTGAACTGAGGTAAAATAGATAAGTTCCCGTTTGTTATGTAATTGTATATCGTTTATTTTGGTGACATATAACCCAACACATGAGTGATATTTATATCTGGTCGGGAAGTATAACATGCGCTTAGTTAACTACTTATAGATTAAATATTTAGTGCTGTTAATGTAATATGAATTTAATCGTCTGAATTTTTGAAATAATTACACATGACTTTCGTTTCTGTCTTTCAACGAATTCTTATTTTATGTTATGATGAAGTTAGAATATAATCATTTAATACTACAACTCTGATACATAACCAAAAGCTTAAATCACGTCTACGTTAACTAAAATAGACTTCAGTTTAGATAAGAGAAGTTTGATAATATATATTAAAAGAGAGAACTAAATTCGGTTAATATATTACTGTTTTTTTATTACTTCCGAAGAGTATTGACCACCGGAGGGAAATATTGTGGACTTGGGCAGGTTGTGTCCCACCACCAAGACGCGATAGTGTGGGTCGCCGGCCAAACAAAACAATTACTGAGTCCCTCTGTTGACATCCACTGAGCCATGCCCTTATTCTCTCACCCACTCTCACACTCACCAAGACATTTCTTCTTCTCTCGCCCACATCTTCTCTCATCCACACCTTCTCTTTCGCACATACATTCTCTCTCACTCTCACATCATCTCTCACACACCTCTCTCTCACACACACGCACCTCTCACACTCACTTCTTTCTCCCACTCATATACACTCTCACTCACACATTCTTACACTCATCAGCACCCACACTTACCTGCACATACCTCACATTTAACCCCCCCCCCCCAGGTAAATCCTCCCGTTGTAACTCGTCGATTAGCGGCAAGTTAGTGGCCAATCTCACCTAAATCTGTTTGCTTTGGTAGATAATATTTTGTCCAGGAACACCAGACTAATAATTTCATAAGATAATATAATAGAAACTTGGCTGAAAGAATATCCCAACCAGTGATGTGTCAATGCAGTTATTGTATCTGTTAATATGTAGTGATTTATATGTTTATACAGTCACTTATATGTTAGTACACACACACACACACACACACACACACACACACACATACACACACATGAATGTATTGATGACAGTGCAGCCACAATTTTTTTTCCCCATATTTTTAGTATGTTACCTTTGCACACTGATTCCATGCTGTTTTAGTGTTATGTGACCCGGAACGCAAAACCAGTAGTCTTCTCAAATATTTCTTCAGTCCAGCTCTCCACCACCACATTGTCCTCCACACCCGCGGCCATTTTCACCTCTCTTGGTCGACTAATGGTTACCCCACAAGCAACAAACCAGCTTTCCTCACGTATCCTGAACACCTTTCAGCTCTACCATAGTTAACTGCCTCACATACACAGGCACAACCAGTGAGTTGGCCTTTCATCAAGCTTTAGTCTCTAAAACATCATACAGTAGGTGTTGGCCTGGCAGGTATGACTTACCCTTGGAGATGTCGGGTGAGGTGTTCACCAGGAGTGGCGCCGTCAAGTTTTTAGCGTTGTCGTCGTAGTCGCCGTAAACAAGTGGCGGCGGTGGCGGCACTGTTGTGGTGGTTGTGGTAGTGGTGGAGGTGGTGGTTGTGGTGGAGGGCGTCGTAGTCGTCCACACCTCTGTAGAAGCCAGATGAAATATCCTGAGTCTCATTATTCCTTTTAAACCTCCTGAGAACGATATCAACTCCCCGAGTACAATTAATTACACTATAAAGATATCTTAACCCGTTGAGTAAAGTGTCGTAACCCTTTGGCAACATTGATCGTTTCCCTTGAATCCGATGACTGTTCTCGGAAAGTTAAGTCATTGTACCCTTATGGGTCAAAGAGGAAGAGATAATGAAATATTGAATTTTATATATTCTTTACCTGTACGACTATATATATATATATATATATATATATATATATATATATATATATATATATATATATATATATATATATATATATATATATATATATATATATATATTGATTGGTTGATTTTTAAGTCACCAGGACTCACCTCTCAAGACGGTGGTAGCTTGCTCCTCGCCCAAAAAGTTCTTAATTCTACAGGTGTAGATGCCGAAGTCTGACGGCACCAAGTTCCTCATGTTGAGCGTCATGTTATGTCTGCAACACACAATATGTGAGTTGTGAGCTGGGGATACATAGTGAGCGAGACGCATGGTGGGGGAGGATTACTGTACATGAGGGAGATATACTGTTGGGGGAGGTGCAGGGTGAGGGAGGTACTCACGTCACAATCGTCCTCACATCAACAGTCATCGTCCACACACCAACACAGTCATCGTCCACACACAAACAGTCATCGTCCACAAACCAACACAGTCATCATCATCGCACCAGCAGTCATCGACACACCAACAGTAATAGTCCACATACTAACACAGTCATCGTCCACATACCAACAGTCATCGTCCACACACCAACACAGTCATCGTCCACACACCAACAGTTATCGTCCACATACCAACAGTTATCGTCCACACACCAACACAGTCATCGTCCACACACAAACAGTCATCGTCCACAAACCAACATAGTCATCATCATCGCACCAGCAATCATCGACACACCAACAGTCATCGTCCACACACCAACACAGTCATCGTCCACACACCAACACAGTCATCGTCCACACACCAACACAATCATCGTCCACACACCAACAGTTATCGTCCACATACCAACAGTTATCGTCCACACACCAACACAGTCATCGTCCACGCACCAACACAGTCATCGTCCACACACAAACAGTCCACACACCAACAGTCATCGTCCGCGACAGTCTTCACAACTATTTTAAGACGTTAAGACAACCATTTTTAGAGCACAAACTTGAAAAAAAAAAACCGACATAACATAATTTTTCAAGAGGAAGAGTCGCCTCCATAGAATTAATTTCCCAGGTGGTCTGTCTCGGGGGAAGGAGCCGTTAAGGTGATTTGCATAATGGGAAAATATCTTGAAACATCAAAAGGGTTTTGTTCTTTTCATACATTTTTGTTTTTAATATAATAAGTAACTACTGTCAACATATTATTCTTGCATTAGTTTAAGAATTTTTTTTTTAATTATATTGTGGTGATTGTGGAGACATTGTCACGTATCTTAGAATGTTTAAATGAACGTCGCTTGTGTTTTCGGGTGTTTTCCGCCTTACCAAGAAGTGTCTTGGGATCTTTTGTGTGTGAGAGGATAAAAATGTAGATATGTTGGTGGTGGAGTTCCTTGACGGAGGTGGTGACGGAGGGCCTTTTGTTGGGCGTCTTCCAGGGCGCCGCCAGGAAACCGCTCTTTCCATCAACAGTATAATAGAACAGCCGTCGTCAATACTGCAGGCAAGATATTTGTGTTCCTGCATGTTTTGTGCTGAAGATGATTCTACTCTGCTCAGTTTGTGAGTCATAAGGCTACTGTCTGAAGCCCTGTGGTAATGTTGTAAGCATTATGACCACAATATAAGCTCTGTAGCCACTGTGTGAGCCTTGTGCCCACAAATTGAGCCCTGTAACTACTGTGGGAGCCCTGAGGCTACTGTGTGAGCCCTGTAGTCACTGTGCGAGTACCTCAAACCCCCGGCTGATGTATTACTGTCTCTGAAAGAGTTTTACAAAGTAATTATAATCCTCTCTTGTTCACCATGTAATGTTATAGTGTCGGTAGTGTAACAGTTGTTGCGTAATGCTCGGGGTTCCATTAACGGCTTAAGTTGTCATCTTCAAGTTTGTTCAAGTTAACTGAGTTCCCATTAGTTTGGGGTCGCTTGTGTACATTGACATTCTCTCTTAGTATGTGCTATAATGTTATCAGTTAATGCTTTGGATTCAGAGTGTATAGTTAACTTTGAATAACTTTATATATATATATATATATATATATATATATATATATATATATATATATATATATATATATATATATATATATATATATATATATATATATATAATTTTTTTTTCTAATTGGTTCCTTATACTCAGGCTTCCACATTATTGTAAGTTTTAATGATATTAAGGCTTTCAATATAGATTTTTGAGGGAGTAATTAATTTGCTTTTCCTCTATAATGTGCATTTTAATGCTGTAATAAATCATAGCAATGTGCAATAAATCTTAGCAAGTAATAATATAGACTTCAGCTTTACCTTTTGCCTGTAGCAAATAATAGAGCTCTCGAGGAACATGAACTCGGGATTCTAAACTCCCTTTGAACACTGGATCTGAACTCCATACCATTTTGAATGCTGGGCATAAGAAGCCTCTTTACATACAATTTATCGATCCGAGACCCAAACACTGAACCCAGAAGCATAGAAACTTAAATCCTTATATGCAGTGGAACTATGAATCTTATACTTCACTAGGATATCTGCCAGCTTAAAGCTTGCAAATCATGAATTTAAAGGTTAAATCTACAACATTTGTTTTTATTAGATGAGTTAGTCCCTCTTGGTTATTCTAAGTTAGACCGTAAAGCTACACACCTTAAACTCTGCACTAGAATTCCAGGGTAGTGAATCATATACCTAGTTTAAAAAAGTTCATCTATATATATATATATATATATATATATATATATATATATATATATATATATATATATATATATATATATATATATATATATATATATATATATATATATATATATATATATATATATGTGTGTGTGTGTGTAAAGGATATTTTGTTTTAATGTAAGTTTGTTTGTTTGTTCTCGATCTCTGACCACAAATTTGAAGATTGAGAGCTGGAATTTGACAAGGAGTTATGAATGCATCCCAAAAGTGTCTCGAAGGTGAAATTTGGGGACCCCTACTGCCAAATGTGGAATCATTCACAAAATTACGTCTTAATGGGGAGGGGGGGCTACCTGAAATTGATTGTGTAGTGGAAAGGGGGAGGGGGGGGGGCGGCACAGAGTCCGACACCCACCTAAAACTGATAGCTCAGTTGATATAATGTAAATGATAGTGTACTTGGTGTAGTGGTAGATCGTTTAGTGAATGAATTGTAGATGCTGGTATAGTTAATGTAGGGTAGTTGATAGTATAGTGGATGTAGTGGAATCGATATGTGTAGATGACAATGTTGTGTTGATTGTGTAGTGGATTTAGTATAGGTGATAGTATAGTCACAGACATAGGCTATGAGCTGCCCTCAAATACGCTTGGTTCCCCAGCTAGTCCCCAAAAATCACGAAATATGGAAACAGACAGGCAAAGGGCCACCCACTAGACGTGAGGGTGGACTGACTCACGTGTAAGGCGGGTGGCCGTCTTGGGGGGTGACGGTGAAATATTCCTCGTTGAGCTGCTGTGACCCCAGGTAGTTTTCCCTCGTCCAGATCACACTGGGCTCTGGATGGGCGGCGTAGAGGCACGTTAAGCTGATGGTGGTGCCTTTAACTGCCCACGACGATGGGTTTGGACCTTTGACCAGGGGTGGGTAGTTGACGTTGACGATGACCCGCTTGCTGATGGAAGGCGGGTGGCCATTGCTAGCGATGCACAGGTAGCCACCGGCGCTGCGCTGGTTCACTTCCCGCAGCATCAGTGTGCTACCCACATAATCTGACGCTGCAGGAGGATCACATGTTGTATATTAGTCTCACGTGTGGGAGGCGGCGGATACAGATCAATATTACGAGCAGACAGCAACAGGTCAAATATGCTTGACAGCTTTATATCATCGCTCCTCGAATAACTTGATATGAGGAATCAAAAAATTACCAACAGCTTAGAGAGTATATATATATATATATATATATATATATATATATATATATATATATATATATATATATATATATATATATATATATATATATATATATATATATATATATATATATATATATATATATACTTTACCAAAGTGATCTCCGCTGATTCTGATACGATCATAGTCCTCCCTGATCCACCTGATGGTGGGCATGGGTGTCCCATGGGCGCGACACGTCAGGTTAGCTGACCCTCCGCTGTTCACCGTCACTTCCTCGTCCCCACCGTCTAGCACCGGCGGCTCTGTAGAGGGACAGAGGGTACGAGGTAAGAAGGAGCGCGAGAGAGAAGAATAATAATGGGTGTAAAAAGGGCCGGGTCACGGGAAAGGTCGAAAAGAAGTGAAGGATATGAAATTGGGAAGAGAATTTTGAGAGGAAAGATTATTAAGATGTTTCTGGAGAGGAATAGGTAGACAAGGAAGCGTTAGAGTGGGAAGAGGTAGACAAGGAAGCGTTAGAGTGGGAAGAGGTAGACAAGGAAGCGTTAGAGTGGGAAGAGGTAGACAAGGAAGCGTTACAGTGGGAAGAGGTAGACAAGGAAGCGTTAGAGTGGGAAGAGGTAGACAAGGAAGCATTAGAGCGGGAAGAGGTAGACAAGGAAGCATTAGAGCGGGAAGAGGTAGACAAGGAAGCATTAGGAGAAGATGTAAACAAGAAGGCAATAGGGGAGGTAGAGGAAAAATGCAAAGTGGAAGAGTTGAAAGAGGAAGGATTGGAAGAGGAAAGGGTGAAGACAGAAGGGTTGGAGGAGGAAGGATTGGACAGTAAGTAATACAGGAGTAGAGGTCAGGAAGGGAGAGAAAACTTGGTTATTATCCTCAATTATCACCAAGACCTGATGGAAGTTGTCTTTCACCCCAGTACTGTCCTAATGTTCCCACCCCAGCACCGTCCCATGTTCCACCCAGCACACCCCAGCACCGTCCTCGTGTTCTCAGCCCAGCACTGCCCCGTGTTCTCACCCCAGCACCGCCCCGTGTTCCACCCAGCACCGCCCCGTGTTCTCAGCCCAGCACTGCCCTGTGCCCCCACCCCCAGCACTGTCTCGTGTTCTCACCCCAGCACCGCCCCGTGTTCTCACCCCAGCACCGTCCCTGTTCCACCCAGCACCGTGTTCACCCCAGCACCGCCCTGTGTTCCACCCCAGCACCGTCCCCACACGCCCCGTGTTCTCACCCCAGCACCGCCCTCAGCACCCCTCATGTTCTCACCCCAGCACCGTCCCCTGTTCTCACCGCACCCTCGTGTTCTCACCCCAGCACCGTCCTCATGTTCTCACCCAACACTGCCCTGTGTTCTCACCCCAGCACCGTTCTCGTGTTCTCACCCCAGCGCCGTCCTTGTTTCTCACCCCCAGCACTGCCCCGTGTTCTCACCCCAGCACTGCCCTCGTGTTCTCAGCCCAGCACCGCCCTCGTGTTCTCAGCCCAGCACTGCCCTCGTGTTCTCACCCAGCACCGCCCTGTGTTCTCACCCCAGCACCGCCCCGTGTTCTCAGCCCAGCACCGCCCTCGTGTTCTCACCCCAGCACGCCCTCGTGTTCTCACCCCAGCACTGCCCTCGTGTTCTCACCCCAGCACCGCCCCTTTTCTCACCCCAGCACCGCTTACTTGTTCTCCTCCCTAGATGTCTCACTTGTTCTCCTCTAGATGTCTCACTTGTTCTCCTCCCTAGATGTCTCACTTGTTCTCCCTCCCTAGATGTCTCCTTGTTCTCCTCCCAGATGTCTCCAGATGACTCACTTCCTCCCTCCCTAGATGTCTCCCTTGTTCTCCTCCTCAGATGTCTCACTTGTTCTCCCTCCCAGATGTCTCAGTTCTCCCTCCCAGATGTCTCTGTTCTCTCTCCCAAGATGTCTCACTTGTTCTCCCTCCCTAGATGTCTCACTTGTTCTCCCTCCCTAGATGTCTCACTTGTTCTCCCTCCCTAGATGTCTCACTTGTTCTCCCTCCCTAGATGTCTCACTTGTTCTCCTACCTGAATGTCTCACTTGTGCTCCCACCCTACTCTCTGTTCCACTCCTCACTCTTAACATTTATTCTAGTCCAGTGTTGATATTATTATTTATCCTCACTGCGGACAGTTCTGTTACCTTCCCTTTGAATTATTCTACTGACCCAGTGTGAACATTTAGTCTTTCTCGTCTTGGTACTAGTGACTGACTGGTACTCACCCACGACGGCGAGGTAGCCGGAGATGGATCGCGGGGGAGAGGTGTTGACCTGGCACCAGTAGTAGCCCTGATCCTTCATGGTGATGTTAGCGATGGTCAGCACCCACGTAGAGCGCTGCTCCCGCTGTATAGAAATGCGCTGATTTTTTGTGATGACCTGCGTCGACACTGTTAACACCGCGCCCGTCACCTTGTACCCCCACGCTACCTGCCAGCGAAGGTCATCATCCACAGTCAATACTTCAGCACTTTAAATTATTCATGTTTATTACAAAGTACTAAAAATACTACTGTCTAGTACAATAAGTACATATAAACATAATATACTACCACGGTACCTACCAGTTAAGTTCATCATCCACAGTTTGGATTTTAAGTACTTACAAACATGCTACTTGTCAGCCCAAATCTCCTTAAACGTCAATACCGTAAGAATTCATTAACATATTTAGTATACTACCACTCTACCTCCGCGGAGAGACCTGACACGGGCACTTTTATAACTATGTTCACACACTGCTGCTTCCTGGGGTAACCGTCACCCTCAAACAGTATGTGTCTCATTCCCTCCGTCCACAACCTTCATACTATTCCCTTCTATCTTCAATCATCCACTGCAGAATTAAACATTCATTATACCATAGTATCATGGCCAATTTCCTTAATTTTTCCATACTACGTTTCAAACACTAATTGACCCTATGTCCAGTTTTCTTTGCACTTGTGGTAGCCACGATTCTCCCTGACCCAGTTTGTAGACAGGTGTGGGATACTCACCTTGTAGTGGCCTAGATTCTCCACGACACAGGTGAGCTTAGCTGTGCGTCCCACCTGGGCTGTCACGTTCTGTACCGGCAGCTCGAAGTATGGTGAATCTGCGAGAAGTAAACAACAACTGTTAGTATTTTTTTTAATTTTTGGGCAACACAAGTATATGTTGTGGTTGTTACTTGGTTACACGATATGTCAGTAGAGGAGAACATTGCCTACTGGTAGTATGGTTAATTAAGTTTTGTGTACATTTTCTAGATATTATTGAAGCAGGAAGTGTGCGTAATTAGAAGTGTTAACTTATTTTCTTGGTAAACCTTCCTTTTTTTTTGTCGGTGTATGCTCTGAAGGTGAACAAAGTGTTATTTACTCACCACGTATATCTTTTCATAGACTGACTTGTGATCAGGCAAGACAATGTGACGGTCATCTGCAGTGAACTGTATCTGTTTGGTGGTAGTTGGTGACCAGTTGGTGAGACCTCAGCGTGAGGTTCCGTTCATTAGAAGAACTGACTCTTTAGCTTGCACTAAAACACCTCTTTTATTATTCAAAATATGAGATTTTCTTTAAGCTGATATGTGCGATCATATGAAAAGGAAAAAAACATAAAAAAATAAATGTCCTCTTAAATGGATACGCGCGCACTATTACATGTTAAGGTGATTCAATAAGTCATAATTATGCAGCAGTTAAACAATAAAGTAAGTTATTGGTCCCTCCTGTATTACACCGACAGCCACTTGTAATCACAGCTTAGTAAGACTGTCAATCAGGGCAGTGAACAAAGTAAGTCACAAATTCCTGACACTGCTTTCGTGTATAGTTCACACGTGACAGTAAAATACTTGGACGACTGGGAAGTGATCTTGTTAACTGTAGGGGGCGTGGAGGTGCTTGACCACACTCCTGTCTCTGTGTGAGCGAGAAAGTGCATTTGTAATATTTTTTCGTTATTAAGACAGCTGCATTAACATATACTATTAGCTTAGAATACTTCACCCTAGTGGGCACTTAATCCTTTGTATATATCTGTATAATGCTGACTCACTGACCCTTACATTGGAGCGACCTATTTTTAACTCCTAGCTACTTTATAGCTTGACTCCAACGCCGTAAACGACACTACCATCGCCTTATATTCACCTCTGGAGAGACTATCACCAGTATTATGTTACACTTTCCTTTTCGTTCTTCTTCATAACCGTGGTCGTGGTGGGTAAGATTATCTCTCATAAACACGAACATAAAGTCGTCAGGCACGAGCTGGAGTCTCACGGTGTTTACCTCACGTTTACTGCTGCCTGACTCACCGCACCTCACAGTTCAACAAGGTCATCCCGAAGGGACTGTTTCTGTCACGCGTTCACCGCCCACCTCTTGTTTAATGCCGCCCGTTTACCACCCACCCCTCGTTTTATGGCACCCGTTCACCGCCCACCTCTTGTTTTATGCCACCCGTTCACCTCTTGTTTTATACCACCCGTTCACCTCTTGTTTTATACCACCCGTTCACCTCTTGTTTTATGCCACCCGTTCACCTCTTGTTTTTACTGTCCAACAAAGGAACTGGACTGTCAGGGGAAGTCATGTGTGTTGTTGACACTGTCACGGAAGACCTGCGGAACTTGTGTGTCCCTAAACGTACAGTGTGAGCCATGCGTGTGGCCACGGCCATGACTGCTGCCACTGAGAAGGTTACTGGGGAGATCATTACTCTTAATATCCTCGACCATCTTGCTCCCATAACCAAAAACTTATTTTTACAAGGATAAACATAATCTTCTAGAGTCATGGAAGAGATTTGGACCCGCTCTTGGTCGTCCTCAGTCACACCAAACCTTTGATCTTCCGGGCAAGAGGACCAGCTGTGGTTAAAATAAATAAATAATTATTTTAATTATACATACTTCATACGGTTCACTCAATGCTCCTCATTATCAACTCCCAGGTTTAGTCTCCCGTTACCCAGCTGTATTGTGCACTGTACTCTGGATACAGTAAACAATTACATTATCATAACGTTGTCCGCCACACTCTACAAATACATCGTTCGGTCGTATCTCAATACATCCACTCAAAATTACAAATGTAATTTTGCTTTACATGTCACGAAGTTTCTTGCTTCACTGTGTCAGTAACCGATAACCACACTCATCTATCATCATGTAACTCAGCCGACAATTAATATATACAAGCTGTCATAATAAGAATTTTTGAAGTATGACATCAAATGGTGTATTATCGGTTTTATTATATTATATGTAACTCAGTAGACAAAATCCTTTCCATGTTATTATTATCGATTATTCTCCTTCTTTCTTAACATGGTTTACTGTCTGCTATTATGACGTTATTGGTGAGTATTCCGTGGGACCACAGCCAAAATAGAATTCATGTTGGCTCACATCCTTGAATTTCTTCTGCTGTTTAACAGTGATCTTTCTTCTGCCCTGTAACTGAAATTTCTCCTGTGTGTGTGTGTGTGTGTGTGTGTGTGTGTGTGTGTGTGTGTGATAATAAATAATAATAATAATAATAATAATAATAATAATAATAATAATAATAATAATAATAATAATAATAATAATAATTAACGGTTTATTGAAAGAGCATGGCAGCCGGAAGGCTGAAAATATACAGTTGCAAAATTGGGGAATGGGTCTCTTGATTGACAAATAATATACTAGTAATGTAAGTGATACAAATATGATATATAAAGACTAGGTGGGGAGAAGGTCATACAACAGGGCATTTCAACATAGTGACAGTGCAAAAAGGTAAGATTGGCTGAGAGCGAATACACTGGTTGATTACAAGTTATTAATAATGTTAACAATGGTTGGGACTGGGCTGTTCTTATAGCGATCGTTACGTGTTCGTATGGGCTGGATGCGGTTGTGGTGTCGAACAACAATTCTCGAACGAGGGATCTCGGGTGGTAGTAGGAGCCGGTGTCAAGGATGGTGCAGAAGTTTCTCACCAAATTTGCAGATGAGGTCTTGGTGATGGTCAGAGAGAGCCGAGAGGGTCAGTGTGTTGAGCGCTTCTTGATATGTGGAGTAGGAAGGGGAGAGAATAATCTTACATGCCCTCTTTTGCACCTCTTCTACTGTAGGTGTTTACGTTGCGTGGAATTTAGGGAGGAAGACCAGGTGGGGGAGGCATAGGTGAGCTTGGGAAGTATGAATGTTAGGTAAACACTGAGGAGCTCGGGCGCAGGAACTCCGAGGGACTTAATTCGGCGGAGGTGGAGACTGAAACTGTGTGTGTGTGTGTGTGTGTGTGTGTGTGTGTGTGTGTGTGTGTGTGTGTGTGTGTGTGTGTGTGTGTGTGTGTGTGTGTGTGTGTGTGTGTTCATTCCAGCAATATCTCCTAAACGACATAATCAGATATCCTCTCCCTTTTAATTTCCTCGGTGATGAAACTTTTGGTTAGGTCTCATTAGTTTTTAATGTCACATCATTTCCATATTAATTAGCTAATTAGCTTCCTCAGTCGCTGGACCGGTACGTGCAGAGACTGTATCTCCTCACTACCAGCAGGTCAGTCAGGGACGATAAAAGAATTGTGACGTGTGGCGGGAATATACAGTTTTAAGGTAATTACGTGAAATCAGCGATGAAAGAAGATTAGTGACATAAGGAGACGGTACAAGCACAGAGACTGGTGGTGCTTCTGTAAGTAAAATAATCCGGATATAATTTTTTTATTTATTTTTTCGTTATAACTTCAGGTTGTGTTGACATATTGTACTGCACCACCTCCTCCAGCCTGTGGGATGTTGCTTCTTATACACAGCTCACTAAGTATATGTTAAACTTATAAGTTCCATAATGTTAATATGTCAATAGCATATGTCAACAGGAGCTTTAAATAAAAGCCCCTAAGATATAATAATCTCCTCTCCAAGTGTTTAGTTATAAGAGTCTTTACATAACGGGCTGTTCTCCGGGTCACTGTTCATCCCTCCGTACGTGAGCTCCATCTTAATAAGAAGAATAAAGATTATGTAGGTATTTATCATACACCTGTAGTGTCACCCATCCTTGCCTACTCCGGCGTGATCCACAACACAGTCCTTAAAGCGTATGTGTTAATCTTCCTCCTCCTGCTACCTTCATCCACAGTAACACCTCTCTTCCTCCCTCACCTGCGGCATTACAACAATACATCACAACACAACACCTCACCTCGCCTCTGTCCCTCACCTACGGCATTACCCACTACACCACCACACCTCATCTCGACCAAACATCAGCCCCTCCGTTAACTCACACCAGCTCTCACACCATTATATAATATCACACCATTCTGCCTTCTACTACTTTCTAATACACGTCAACAATTGTATCAAAATATATCCACTAAATTACGAAATTTATCATTATATATTTCAGTTCATATTTTCAGTGAACTTTCATATATTTCCAGTATACATTATGTTTTTTATTTTATTATAACCGTCATTGTACCCAAGAGAATGTAGACAACCACAGTATTTTTGTTATGTAGGAGCTCATTATGGATGTATAATTAAACTTTCCCCGCGCCTCTCAATAACTTGATCCACTTGATAATCAGTGGAGGTGGAAGCACTGAACCCCCTCTTAATATGTTCCCTTACATCCCAGTTGTCTGTCATACAATACTAATATCAAACTTCAAGAGGAACAGAGTTGTATAGCGTTAGGTGTTATTATCAAGAGTACATCAGAAACTTTGTCTTCTTTCATGCGGTAGTGTTGAGGTAAAGATGATATACCAAATATTACATATTATCTTGTTTATGATACAGTGGTAATAGGCATGGCTCTCACAACAGCGTCCCGTGATCGATTCCTGTTCGGGTTAGATGTGAGAAGGATGGTGATCACTGTGACTACCGAACGTGACAAATTTTCTCCTGTAATAAATTTTCCTCTTCTGCTAAAACTCGACTGGCCTGATCGGTTAAGTGAGTAGAATAATTATCACATCATTCAGTACAGTTAATGTCATCAAACACTGAAGGTTAACTACCATATTAACATTCATAAATATATCTAAAATAAATACAACCCGAGGCTTACCATTTCGAAAGACTTTCATTATATTTCATCAA